TGTAGATTTCTGGTCTAATTTTTTGTGGTGGCTACCTCAGTTTTTTGGGTTTTGTTTTTTAATTTTACTTAGGGGGGAGTAAAATTTTGTTCATATGTTGGCAGGTTTTTTTTTTCTAATGTGTAACTGTAACATATGACATAACTGGAGGTGTCTGGCCCAATGCCAAACAAGGATATCTGAGGCCCAGATACATAAAGGACTGGTTTACTTAGGGGCTTTACTGAAGTCCAGCAGTCATGTGACAGATGGAACAAAGGCTGAATTGGAACTTGAGACAAGTAAAAACTAAACAACCAGAAGATAAGCTTGTACAGTAAAATGAGAAAATAGTTGAGAGTAGAAAGGAGTGCTTAAAGAGTTGGTCTTAGAAAGAAGACTTCACCCTGGTAGAGAAGGAGATTAAACAGTTTATCTTTCACGGAAGGAGGAATTGGTCCTAAAAAATAAAGCTCTGTGGAACTGACCAGTGTAACCTAAGTGACTGAGGGGGGCCTGCCCATTAGCTCAGGTGTTTAAGTGCCCGCTGAAACAAAGCAGTCAGGCTCAGGATGCTGTGGTTCGATCCCCTCATCCTCAATCCAAACCAGACCTGCCCTGAAGGCAACCTGAGTGGCCAAAAAGAAATCCTTTCAACCTAAGTGACTGAATGTGGATAAAAGGATGACTGTATGTGATACAACACGGAAATCAGGAAAATTATATACACTGTGGTAAGGAGTAATGACCCCATATTAATACAGAATGACTAGTCATTACATCTGTGGTTCTTAATTGGTACAACATAAAGCAATTCCATGACACACATTTTTCACACAAGCTACAGGGGTTAGTACAAGTTACTGAACCATAGTAATCAGAGAACTATTTAATAAAACTTCAGAAAGAAAGATTGTTAAGGGGCTGGGGAGATGGCTCAGTAGGATAAGTGCGTGACTGGCAAATGTAAGGATCTGAGTTCAATCCCCGGTTCCACCAAAAAAAAAAAGATTGTTAAGGCCTTTGTGTTTGGCATGATTATATTTATTTTTTGTCTTGATTACTTATCTCATTGCTAAGACAAAATATGCAACACCCAAAATTAAAGGAGATATAGTTTATTTTAGCTCATAGGCTATAGAGGTTTCAGTTCACAATTGGCTGCCTTTGAGGCAGGGTGGCATGGCAGAGGGCATTTCAGAGGAGGCAGGCAGAGGTCAGCAAGCAATAAGCAATAAGTGACAACCCCATGTCTATTCTTTATGTCTTATCCATGCTACCTACCCTTAAGATGAGTAGCACCCATACCCTTAATCCCAGCATTGCATCTTTGATCCCTGCATCACACACTGTAAAGCCAGCTACCTCCAAAAAGCCCCACTTGAAAAAAATAAAGAAAAACGGGGCCAGGGAGATGGCTCAGTGGAATAAGCACTTCCCTGGCAAGCGGAAGGGCCTTAGTTTAATCACTGGTTCTGCCAAAAAAACAAAACAAAACAAAAAAAAAAACCACTTAGGATTTCAGGAGGCTTTCCCACATTTAGATACAAGCCACACCCATTTCTCATTCAAACAATAATGCTTAGATTATATTGATGGGGGCTTAACTGTTTAAGTGCCTGCTTAAGTGAAGACAGTCAAGCTCAGGATACTAGGTTTGATCCCCAGATCCTCATGCCTTACCAGACCTTACCATGCCCTTAAGGCATCCTGAGAAACCAAAAAAAAAAAAAAAAAAAAAAAATCCTTCTGAACTTAAAAAAAAAGATTATATTTTCACTGAAACAATAATGTACCCACTAAAGCACACCATAATAGGAAATATTTTTCATTCATTTCCTGTGGCTACTGTAACATATTGCCACAGCCAGAATGGCACAAAACATAAACTTATTCTCTTGAAGTTCCAAGATCAGAAATCCAAAAAAGGATCACAGACTCAGGACGCAGCTCTGGCAAAGTACTTGCATAGCACTTGCGTAGCATGTGCAAGGCCCTGGATTCGATCACTAGTGCAGAAAGAAGGTGGCGTCATCACTGGGCCTATAGTAGAGATGTTGGCAGGACTGCGTAGCTTCTAGAGGTTCTAAGGGAAAGTCTGCTTCCTGGCCTTGCCCAGCTTCTAGAGGATGCCTAAATTCCTTAGACCATGGCCTCTTTTTTCCTTCAAAAGCAACAGTGGCTGGTTTAAAAATAAAAAAATTTTAAAAGACCAGGAGATCAACTGATTAGCAATCTAAATTTTCCTGTGTGTGTGTGTGTGTGTGTGTGTGTGTGTGTGTGTATTTTAGGGGTCTATAGGGTGTTCAGGGTCCCACTACTAGATCAGATGCTTAGGGATCCACCTGTTTACAGCCTCCTAAGAGCTGGGATTATAGGTGAGCTCCACTATGCCCAGTCTTAATCTCAGTCTCAGCACGCCCGGGGGAGGGGGGTAAGGGGGAGCTGGTACAGCAGGCCTGGGGATCGAACCCCTGGCCCCTGCACCTGCTTGCAGGTGCTTTAATCTGCTGAGCTATTTGGCTGGCCCTAAATTTTCCTTTGGCACTTAATACATCCACAGGTTCCAAGGATTTAGGATGTTATTTTCTTTAGGGAGTAATTATTTTGTGTATAATTTCTAAAGTGAAACTCAGTATCATTAAAGATGGACATCCAATCTATCAACAGTACTAAAATCTTAGATTTGTTCTGTACATTTATAGATATCACATATTTTCTTCTACATGCCTCAAAACTAAGCTTTGTACAAAAAGCCTGACCCAACACTGTATGCCTTTTTGGGGGAGGGAGGGCACCTGGGGTTGAATTTAGGACCCTGCACTTCAGCAGGCAGGCATGTATGCTGCTGAGCTATCTCCCTGTAACAGGAGAGATAGCTTTTTATAGGATTCTTATCTTGAGGCATAAGGAATTTTATCGTATTGTTCAGTTTCTGATATCTTAAGAAAATACATAACCACTGAACACACTCTTTCATATGAAAGAGTAACAATATCTTACAATCATTATTTTTTTGCTAAAATAATATTTCCACTAAAGAAACTAAAAGGCCGGGGAGATGGCTCAGTAGAATAAGCACTTGCCTGGCAAGTGCAAGGGCCTGAGTTCAATCCCCAGTTCTGCAAAAAAAAAAAAAAGAAAGAAGGAAAGAAAAGAAAAAGAAAGAAAGGAAACAAAAGAAAGAAACTAGAAAAAGTCAGGTATTTAAGTCTCTAAAACAATTTGGTAGGGTTAGGGTTTAGCTCAGTGGAAAAGTGCATGTTTAATGCAAGGCTCTGGGTTCTAACCCCAGCATACACACACACACACACACACACACACACACCCCAATAACAGAACAAAACAAAAAATAAGAAATGTTAGTAAAGGAAAT